GTTTAAATATTAAATTGTCCTTTTGTCATGACTTATCCCTGTATTGTTTGCTCAAACTATAAATTTCCTAAGAGCAAGAAATATATTTTAATATTTTAATGGCTTTTATGTCCCTCACTTTCTAGCAGAGTGACCTAGAAATAGTAGGCACTGGAATATTTATTGTCTTATCCACAGAGCATTTATTATCTTAAGCACTTTAGAGGCCCATCTTATTTCTTTTGATTATAGTAAGTTTAAGTTACTTTGTTATAAAATCATTTCCTTAGACACAAAAAATCCTTGATACCATTAAGAATGCAGAATCAAAAATGCAATTTTGATATCATTTATATCTTGTACCCTTATTTTCCTATGTTAAGAAACAGTATACATATTCAATTATAATAATATAAGAAAATATAATTATGTTGAGACCTCCCTTAGAAACGAAGAAGAAAAATGACTCAGCTGCATCTAGAAATAAAATAACATTTAAAATTCCAAATGACTAAGAGTAACATTTTATTACTCTAGGGCATAGAATCTATTATTACTGGTAATATCCCAAAACACTTTAGAAGACTTATGTGAGTAACAATGAAATGATTGCATTTCCAGAAAAGACACTTAGAAAATTCATTGCAGGTTCTTTCTACACTTCTTCAGTGATTCAATCTTTTGGCTGGGTATTTTAACTTCTTCTACATCACTGAAGGCTTCTCCAAAATATATTTCAAATAACCACATACCTTCAGAGCCTCATTCTTAAAACCTTTGGGAGTACTTCACCAATTCAATGATCTCATTGGCTAAATATCTTTAGCTATACAATTTTGTACCTACATCACATATCATTTGGGGACCAAAACTAAGTATACCTGAAAATCTATCTGACTGTTTATTTCCTACTACAGAATTTTATAACTATATTGAGTTATTTACTTTGAAGGCTTAATATCAGGAAATCACAAGTGATACCAGAAAGAGAATACAATGAAACACAATTTTGAAAATATAATTTAAGATGCTAAATGTGAAACTATAAACACAAATTAGACATTAAAATTTAAAGATATCTGAAACTCACATATTTATATAACATTTTGGTCCTTAGAGGACATGTATTTTCTTTCACACTGGTGTAATCTGAGTTTCCTCTGGCCACACAGTCTGAGTAAGCAACAGGATCAAAAAACAGTAATAAAATGTCCCTACTCAGTATTCAAATAACTTAAAAATCCCCAGTCCATTAAGGTTTCTACCTTCATGGCTTAATACAATTTTTAGAGAATTAGTGGATTCTAAGAAACAACTTTGCTGTCAGAAATGCCTACTTAATATATGCTTCTCTTTCACGAAAGAAACTTGATTGTGCTCAGAGAGACAAAATGGCAAAGACAAGAAGATACTAAGAATAAATTTAACCAAGGGAGTGAAAAACACATACACTGAAAACCATAAGATGTTGATCAGAGACAGAATACTGTTCTCAAATTGGAAGAATGTTGTGAGAAGGTTCACACCACCCAAAGCAACCAGATTCAGCACACTCCCAATCAAAATCCCAAAGGTAGCTATCACTGAAATAGAATAAACTATCTGGAACCACAAAAGGTCCCTAATAATCAAATCCCAAAAACGAACAAAACTGGAAGCATCACACTTCCTCTTTTAAGTATGTAATACTGCATTACCTATAGTAACTGAAAGACTGAAGCATCCTCACCACACACAAGTTAAATTATCAGATGGATGTGTTAAATAGTTTGATATTGGTGATAATTTTATAATGTATATTTAATATCATGTTGTATACTTTAAATAATTATTGCATTTGTCAATTATTCCTCTATAAAATTCTTTTAAAAATTTTCTCCAAACTCCACTGCAACTACCAGTGGTCATATGACAAGTTAGTCATTAAGATGAAAACTTTTTCTCTCCAAATACAGACACCATCCTTTCTTGTTTCTTCTATCTTCTAGTATGAAACAAACGTGCCATCTAGAGTTGTAGCAGCTATCTTGAAATTAACAGCGGTATGCATGAAAATGAAGAAAGGCCTTTGCTCCAAAGACTGAGGGGAAAGACAGAACCCAGGGCCTTTATGTAATAGTTAAGATATTGATATTTCTGCTTACTAAACTGCCTATTTCCACTTTTTTAAAGCTGTTTATAATTGGGATTTCCATAACGTATCTTAACATGCCAGAATGTCCTCCAGAACATGGTTTACAGCAAAATGTAATTTATCAATGTCTACTTCTAACTAAAGATAAGTGGAGATGACTTAGACACCAAAGAATTTACATAAATTCTTTTGCTTTGAGAGTTCTCCCAAATAGAACTCCCAATAGAACATTTTGCAAAGCTACCACTCAGAATTCTAATCTCTAGTACCAGATATCCCTAGCAACAGCTCACCCTAGAACCAGTCTAGAGTGCATTTTTTCCATCCCTATCAATCTCTTGGAGTCAGGATGCAATAGATTAAGTGCAACACAAGTAACTGAGTGCTATAATGCTTCCTGATACATTGCTGAGATAAGCAGCACAATTTGAGAACTTTCCTATTGGAGTTCAACATACAGAGAAACAAATCGTATATAGCCCCTGTTCTCAGAGTACCATATTGAAGAAGTCTAAGAAAATTCCACTGGAAGCTGCAAATTGCACAAGTTTTAATCCAACTGGCAGAGTAGAAATCTGGGTTCCCTGTATGCAGAAGAGATGAGAATGATGGAGGATATACTTGGATTAGTTCAAACACTTTGCCCTATTCCATTACCTCAGACCAGATTCCTTTATGGCCTGGTTGTTGCTACTGGACTGGTAATTGAGTAAGCGTCAGAAGCAATGGTTCAGGTTAGTTTCTACAAATTTAAGAAAATATTGGAAAATACCATAGTAAAAAAGACAACTAAGTCATGGTTGTGGCATGCCACTAAAACTGGTTAGGAATGTAAAGAGAAATGCCAGTTTTTAAGTTTTCAAACAGATTTTGAACAAAGATGCCTATGGAGGTTTAACAGTTAACACCTAAGTGAAGCAGACCTACATGGAGTGAACCAAAGAATATCTTAGAGGGAAGGTAAATCCAACTAATTGTGAATGTATTGTCAAATTTTTTCAAAGAGGCCAGAAATTAAATGAGAAATTTAATCCTAAAATGTAATAAATTAATTCAATTTAAAAAAATGTGTGTGGTCAAATAAACTTCTCTAAAAGCTAAATATGGTAACTGTGGATACCAGTTTATGTCCTCTGACTAGTCCACTTCATTATAGATAGACAGCTGATGAATTCCCTCCAAGCTAACATATATTGCTTTTTCCAGCTGTTATGAACTCAACAGTAAAGCCCCTGATACTTTCTACTTGACAGCATACCATCTCTGGGCAGTGCTGCTGTTCACTAATGAAAAATATTGGTGGTTTTAAATCTACGAAGAATCTACAAGCTGAGACTTAATGGTATAGGTTGTTTTGCATTGAAAATATATTTCCACATTAACTAGAAGTTTTTAAAATAAAATTTAAGTATACATGCCAAAACTGTTCTGATATATCTTTAAAACATCTATCTTCTTGCAGTTTTCCCCTCATAATATGTAGCTTTAGATAAATCAAGAAAAATGATTCTACTGTAAAAAAAAAAAAATTCTGCACAAATAATATCTAAAGAAAAGCAGAAGAAATCATAGGGGAAATATTAAAAGTCCAGATAAAAGTATATAGGAAAAAAAACTAAATGCAACAGTTTATATTACCAATAAAACAAATTCTCTCTTTTGAACTGTTACACGAAACGATTGGAGATATTATGGAACTCACAAGTGTTAAAATCACATTGTGATCTATGGACTTAAGAAAATACAAAGTAGGACTTTGATATAAACAAATAATCAAACATTCTCCATGTTGGTTTTCTCAAAAATCAATGTCTTTTTTTTTTTAAGAGTTAGAAGGAATATTAGAAACTACAGGCTTCAAATCCTTAATTTCATAGAGGGACAAACTGAAACTAATAGTTTGCTTATATGTACCTAGTGGCAAAATTGAGACAGACATATAGATTTCTCATAATATGTAACAATGATCTTTCCTTTGGATTTTTATCCTTGGAGTTCAATAGGTCATGTAGGTATATAAAAATGAATTATTACTAGTTAAGTGTCGCTGAAAAATAGAAGTTAAATCTCCACTAAGCCCTCCACTAAGGGTTGAAAATCCAACCCTTGTTTTGGAAATTAAAATCTGTACACAGGCATTGAGAACAGAAGCTCTTGTCCTATTTGAACTTATATCTAGTTGGCAAAATAAGAAATTAATATAAAATTAAAAATTTAAATATAAAATAAAATAAAATAAAATGTAACTTAAGACAACATAAGAGCTAGCACAATGCAGATAATTGCCCAAAGAATGTATCATGTAACTCGTACTCAGTCTAGCCTACTAAAAATTTATGCCTCCATAAGAAAACATCTGCCTTTGTAGCATTAGTGTACAAAGTTTAAATACTAGTAAAACACAAGGAAGAACAACATATGACACTCACCAATGAAACAGATTACTTCTCCAGGTTACTAAGTACAACTGTTTACCTTTATTTTTCTTCTATGGTGCATATTAGCTATGAATGCATCAGAGCACTGAGGTTATTCCCTCAACACAAGAATATACTGACCAGCTTGAATTTCTATTTGGATACAGAAGTTTCCAATCTACAGACAAACATTGTGGAGTCAAAAAATATATTTAAAAAGAGAAAAAAGTTATTAAACAACTCTAATTCAAGGAAGATAAAACTATTTTAAAATCAAAAGCAAAGATTTTGCCAACTTTTAACTCAGCAATAGGATTTGTATTAAAGTCTCTAGAAGCTATAATTTCTAAACAGTAATAATTTGCATTTTCTTTGAACAGTCTTATTCAGAAAAATATTGACTAATTTGGAAGTAAATAATTTAACATGCAATGTCAACATGAAAATTTCTTTTTCAATTGAGTTTTATTAAAAATACCTTTCCACATAATAGTTTCCACATACTAGTTTCATACTAAATTAAATTTACTAATTTCTGTTTCTGGATGGCTTGCAATTAGGATGGTCAAATGTCCCAATTTTCATGGAAATGAGGATCTTCACTGCTAAAATATTTGGGTGAACTGAGACAAGTGGTCAGCCTAGCTGGAATATAATATATAAAATCAGAAGCCATTTATCTGAAGATGGTTGAGATTTGCTAAGGCAGGAAGGGAAGCACCAAGACTCTAGAGGGGAGAACCTTAAAGAGTAAGCTAATGTTTGCAGTTCTTTTTAACCTGAAGGCAATTGCCAATTCAAGGCAATTCTGAAAAAGAACTATTGAGAGGAATCACTCTACTTGATTTCAAGCCACTGTAGTAAATAATACGTGTTATTGATGGAGGGAATGAAGCAAATCAATGTAATAGGGAACTCAGAAATAGCCAGAAAATCACATTTGCGCTTATGGTAGCCAGTGCCATAGGGAAGCCCAATTTCCCCATGGGGCTGACTAACCACGGATGGCTCTGTCCTAAATCACGTTGGACGCCAAATCTGTTATAGGACAGGGAGAGGGGCAGCCCAAACCCCGCAAACCTGCCTATTGTCTATTTTAAATGGGTTCTGCCATCCGCCGCATCAACACAAAACATATGACACTTTAATGGGAAGGAACTTTAATAAAACTAGAAAACAATACAGGTAAGGCAAAGAGTCTAGTTTCTAAATGAAGCACCCAAAGTTACCCGTCCCCTCGTGGGTAAAAGTCCATCCAAATGGGATTGGCCCAGAGCAAGGCCCCAAAGCCTGCCACAAGTCTAAAGCATCTTCCAGTGGGGACCCACAACAAAGGGTCAGAAATAACCAGACAAGCCCGGAAGGAAAAGAGCAAAATCAACATCAAGATAAAAGCTGCCATTGTCACCTCCCCATGGGTCTCACCCACATCTGTGTCACCCAGTCCACGACCACAAGACAAGCGTAGTTTCTTCACGTGTCTCTAGGCTCCATGCGCCTCCTCCAGGTCTCCTAGCTCCATCCTGCTTCCTTCCTCAGTCTCTTCTTCTGCTTCTCCTCTTCCTGCTCAGCTCCACCCTCCCTTGGGTGGGGCAGGGAACCTCCCCCTTTCCCGGGGACCACCCTGTTACAATATGACCAACAAAACTGTGACAAAGTACAAAAGAAATTCTATGCAGAAAAGATAGTCTTTTCAAAAAATGGTGCTGAAACAAATTCTGATCTAAATCTCATTCTTTATACAAAAAATTAACTTAAAATAGATCAAATTTAAATGTAAAACCTAAAACTTGTTAATAATACAGGAAAAAATCTTTGGGACATAGGGCTTGATAAAGAGTTCTTAATCATAATACCCAAGCATGACTCATTAAAAAAAAAAAAAAGCAGCAATAAACTGGACTTTAACACAATTAAAAATGGTTTACCTGCTAAAAACCTTGTTAAGAGAATAAAAGGCAAGCTACAGTCTACAAAAAAGTATCTGTAAACCACATATTTAACAAAGAATCCATACCCAGAATAAACTCTCAAATTCAACATTAGAAAAACAAAAAATCCAAATAGAAAATGGGCAAAAGAAATGAAGAATGAAGAAACATTTTATCAAAGAGAAAAAATGGATGACAAACATAAAAACATGCAATACCATTAGCCATTAGGGAAATACAAATTAAAACCATGATAACACGGTCCTATTAAAACAGTTAAAATAAAAAACGCCATTATGTTCATGAGAATGTGACGAAACAGGATCTCTTGTATACTGCTAACAGGACTGCAACACAGTACAGTGACTGGAAAATGGCCATTTCTAGTTTAAAAACCAAGCCGATTCTTACCATTTAACCCAGCAATCACATTCCCATGCAATTATCCAAAGAAACAAAAATTTCTGTATAAAAATTTGTACACAATTGTTCACAGCAACTTTATTTGTAATAACCAAAAGCTAGAAATAATCAAAATACACCTCATTAGATGAAAAGTTATATAAACTGTAGTACATACATGCCATGGAATATGACTCAGTAATAAAAAGAAACAAACTGATACAAACAACTTGGATCTCAAGGAAGTTGTGCTGTGTGGGAAAAGCAAGTGCCCCAAAGTCATATATCGTATGATTCCATCAAAATGTCAAAATTAAAGACGGAGAGGAGATTAGTGGTTCTTGGGCTTAAGGATGATAGTGAGTTGCAGGGAAGGGGGGGTAGGGGGCTAAGTGTTCTTTATAAAAGGCAGCACTAGAGAAATTTTTGTGGTAATGAAATAGTTCTTTATACTGATTGTAGTTGTGGTTAAAGGAATCTGCACATGATAAAATAGTACAGAATTACATACTCAGTGTACCTATGTCTATAATTCCTGATTTTGATATTGTACTCATGATATTGTTATCATTTAAGCTGTAACCATTGGGGGAAAACTGGATGCACATGGTGGGGGTCTCTCTGTACTACTCTTTGCAACTTCATTTTGCAGCCTATCATTATTTCAAAATAAAAAGTTAATAATATTACTGAATGATATACAATAAACTTCCAAATAATTTCTTAGTGGGAGGAAACCCTTACCTATGAATCTAGGAAATCTATTGAACCAAAGAAAATAAGTCAATTTGTTCTGTAATTTTTTTTCCACTGTGGAGACAGGTTTTGAAAACAACTTCCTGATTTTCGCCATTGAGAAATCATATCACCATATATCACTGGCATTAAGGAAAAAGTAGACTGCTCTGCTTATGGCAAAGGTATAAAATAGTTTAAAAAATATTTCAAGTGTACCTAGATTTGACTGCATGTTGCCTATATTAAAAGAAAAAATTGATTCTATAGCTAATGATGCTAAAACTACTTAAAATTAAGTATCAATTGTGTTAATATGTATACATGAATACACTTCATATAGTAAGATTTCATTTCTGATATGTAAAACATTTACAATAGCAACAAAATGAAGTAAAATGAACTAAAAATCACTTAAAATGAATGAAATATAATTTCTAAAACAAGTTATCAGGCCTCAGTGTTTGAGATATTTCAATATCAGTAAAAAATATATAAAATACACAGATCTCTCAACCAGTCAATATTTCAATAAACGTTAATTGATTCATAAAAAGCTTTCACAACACTACGAACTAAAATAATAGGTCATTTATTTTTCAAAAATGTGTTCTTTGACTTCTAACCTTTGCTCTTCTTTAGAATCACCTGTGAGGAGGAAAAAAAATGAAGAATCACATTATACCTAGGGCAAACAAAGCAATTCCACAGCAAAAAATTGAATAGTATAATGTGCAAAACTCTAAATTTATAAAACCCAATTTGGAAGATGATATGGGAATCTCTTGCTTTAGAAAAGTTTTAGACATCTTTAAAATAGCCTACAGTTCTCTCAAAGTATTTGCTTTATAGTCACTTGTGGAAGTTAATTTCTTTAAGCCAAAAGTATCCAGATTAATATTTCCCAACTTAAAATTTGAAGACAATTTAGTAATCCAGGGAGTCAAAGAATGTTCCAAAATTTGAAAATCCTATCATAAAACAGGCATTTAACAACTATAAAAGAATATAAATCCACTGCAACACCAAACTTTGGGGGAGGAATTATATCATCTTAGAACAAGACTGGTCATTCTCATGCACCTAGAAGTTTGCTAGGTAGACAATTTTCTAAAACACAGCTCATGAGATAAGTAAAAGACGAGGAGCAATAGACCAGAATAGCTACAAAAAATTTTTTGAAGAACTCACCTATTTTTAGGTACGTACACTTACAATTTATTAATAAAAACAAACAAAACCTAAATTTAAAGAGCACACATATATAATCTTCAAATTCTCAAGCCTTGTTTCACCAGCAGAAAATTACTTATATTGATGGTAACAGCTAGAAATTTATTGTAATGTTTATAATTGTAAAAGACTTTAAAGCTCCTACAAATGCCAGGGCAAGCACATTACTATGCTTCCACATAGGCCACCAAGTCTATACCCAAAGCCAATAATTCTCAGTTTTACATCATGTTAGTACAGGTACTGCAGGTACTGCAAAAGAAAAGTACTATGCACTCACACAAATGTACAAAATGCTGAGTATATTACGTACTCAAATTGACAAATGCCAAGTTAAACAGAGTTCAACAAGTTTCTCTAAATGTATCACTCATATCCTCTCATTTTACATAACTATATGTAAAAATGTTAGAGTTGTGGGAAGATGAATAAAAAGTACAAGGAACTCTACTATTTTTGCACCTTTTGTGAGTCTACAATTATTTCAAAATTTAAAAAATATATATTAAAAAGTGTACAAAAAGGCAACTGTGAAAACTAAGTCTTTCTCCCACATCATTCAGCAGTCCATCAAGGTTGCCAATATCTTGCATATATATTCTTATAGAAACAAGTTTGCTCTATCTAATAACATTGTGACTGTTCAAAGAGCTACACTATGTTATTATTTAAACCTACCTGACCAAAAGAAGCTTTTCATGGCCAGGCATCTATTAACAAAAATTAAAGTTATAATCTCTGATGATATATAGAAAGCACCCCGAGCATCAAACTCATATTATATGGAAATAGCAGTAAGGAGAAATCTTCTTTGCTTGTAAGAGATTTGATTCATAAGTTACTCAAATCTCAAAACAAAGTAAAAAAACCACATAATTAAAAAACTTAAAATGATCAAGAAGAAAATGTTTTAAAAATTTCTAAGTGATAAATCCTCTCAACTATACATAGCCTACTCCAAGTCACAGATTTAACAGATACTCATTTCTTCCTGAATGGAATAAAGCAGTAGCCATGAATTTTTTCCAGGGGAACAAACCCTAACTCCTTAATTAAAATCCATTAAAATGAAAAGCCACAGATGCAAAAGCTTTGACGAATCTGAATAAGAACTCTAAATAAATCAGGCAGAGATAAATGAGCCATGTAATATTTTTGAAGTCAATTCTTCTCAAAAGAAATTCAGATCTTACCTTTGCTGCAGCCAGTACATGTTCCTTTTTAATGACTCCACTTTTATTCTCACAAGCCTTTATCCTGGACTCTTCTGCTAATCGATGAACAAACAATAAACAGTTCAGATGCACCTTTAAAAGAAAATGTAAAATGATTTTTAAATTAAAAACTAATGCCTAGAAATGACTTAAAAAGACTCCAAATTTTAATGTTGTGCTGTTTACTACTGTGATTAAGTCAATTAATTCTAATTTCACGTAACAGGATTCAGTTTATAATAGGTCCATCTCAGATTCCATATTAAAGAGACTTGGTTCTTACAATACATGAAATAAGGCTATGTAAGGCTGACTAAAGGCCACAGACAATAACATTATTGTAAGGCATCACTATATAAAACTTACACAGGACTCTATTAAGAAATATTTCTGCTTTCAATTGCAAATAAATTTTGAAATTTATTATCCAATTAAATTTCCCAAAAATTTAAAATCAAAACTTAACAACTATATTTACAGCTGAGAACCTTTCATTCTACAATCCAAGGCCTGAAAATTTTTAAATCAGATATTTAATTTGGAATACCTATTCAAGCCACGTGAATTGAATTGGTTTTTAAAGATTTTATTTATTTATTTTTAAGTAGAAAAAATGGGCTCTAGGCCAGAGGTATAGATGGGGGGAGCGATTGGAGGGGTTTCAACAGAGACAGAGTGAGTAGCAGAGCAGGCAGATTTACTGAAATACACTGCTAAGGGTATCAGCGGGCAAGACAGGAGAGGTCTGCTGCACCTGACCAGGATCAAACTCAGGTCATAGTGGTGACAGCGCTGAGACTAAACTCCTAGACCACCAGGGAGGGCCCATGAATTGAAATTTTATTAAATTGAAAAGTGTATGTACAGGGCCTCTCTGGTGGCGCAGCGGTTGAGCGCTGGGTTGTGAAGCTGCCCGCAGCATCCGCAGTGCCTGTTCCATCCCCGGCCGCCTGGCAAGGGTCCCACATGGCACGCAGACCACTCCTGCCGCCCGCTGATACCCTCAGCAGTGTACTTCCGTCCTTCTGCCTCTTCTGCTCCCTGCTTTGGCTCTGGTGAATTCTCTCACCCTCCAGTGCTTCTGACTGTACCCAGTGCTTGTATAAATAAATAAATCTTAAAAAAATCTTATATCTAGCAGCCCGCCTGTGACTTTGCAGGTGTTTCTCTTCACCAAACTTTTCCCTTTGCAAAGCACCATAGTTAGAGCTCTAAGACTTCCCACCTCTGTGTATGCAGGCCTCTCTTTTAGCAAACCTGTCCCTTTCAGAGGCAGCTTTGTGCAAGTCTTCTTGATTTCCCCCTGCCCTTTTGAATATTAAAAAAAAAAAAAAAATTTTATCTACTATTAATAATCTAAGGCTTCCTTAAGAATTTAAAATAGGTAACATAAGACAGTACAAAATTCAAAAGTCCACAAGAACTATAGATATGGAAGATGTTAGCATTGTGGGTAAAAGGTACATGGGAATTCTTTACTGATTGACACTTCTTGAGAATCTATAATCATTTCAAAATAAAAATACAAAGCAAAAAAAATCTAGAAAAAGAAAACACTGAAAATAAGTCTTTCCACATTGTCCTTCAGAAAACTATGATTGACAGCTTCTTGCATATTCTTACAGAAAAATATTTACATGTGAGCAAACTCTAGATATCATTATTTTACCTTGTTATTGTACATATCTGAATATGTATAACATTTTTGCTATATAATTTACTGAAAATCCACTATCCAAACCAAAAAGTGTTATTCAACATACATGCACAAAGCCTAAGCAAGACAGAATGTAAAGTGAGTGTCAGTCCCATCAATTCTCTCTCTAGGGTCACATCTAGTGCTCTTATTTACCTTTGTGGTAGCATCTTCCCCATCCTTTGTTTCTCATAGGCTCCTAAGGACACTACCAATTTAAGTCCAACTAGTCTTTAACATATTTCTTTGGTAATTTATATCATACTACATGCTCTTACAGTGAGCATTAATACAAATAATCATCACTGTCTTGTAACTGCATATTACCACTCCCCCACAGTTCACTAGTACTGTGTTGTTTTTCATTGTTTATATTGTGCCAAAATCTTTAGTGGATTGTTACAGGTGTTTGAGAATGTTTTCATGATATTTAGGGAAAATGAAAGTTTGAGAACATAAATTTAGTAAAATAAAGAACATATAGAAGAAGATATTCTTTTGGTACTTCTTTGATGCACTGTTCCTTCTTTCTCACAAAAGCTCTGAGATAAAGCACTCAATCCTGATCGTATACATTATACCATGTCATTCATTTTTTTTTAAGATTCCAATGATATCCCATGTCCTTTTACAGCAAAAAAAAAAAAAAAAAAAAAATATTATGGCAAGATTTCATCTGTTCTTTTACATTTCTACTTCTAAAGATAAACAGCTTCCAGATGCCCTCAAAATAAATTCCAAATTCCTTAATACTAACCACCACCTGACTAGACTTTTCCAGTTTCATCTCTCATCTTTCTCAGATTCCAGTTCTATGCAAAGCCTTTTGAACTTCTTTCAGTATTCAAACATAACTTTGCTATAGGCATTCTACTGATTTGTAAATTTCTCTGAAAAGTCCAAATCTCCCAAATCATGTAAGGGTATGTGATCTATGAATTTCCTTTCTATCACTGCACAGGCTACACGTATTATGCTGCAATTTCTCACCTGTCTTCCTCAGTGTAATATAAGAGCAAGAAATATGTCCATCTTCCTCAACCTTGTACCCCTAGTGACCTTTAACCTGTGGCCCAATATGTAGTAGTCAATATTATCCCATGAACAGAAGATCCCTCCAAATTTTCCTGAATTAGGGGAAATATTTTTTTAATCGATCCCAAATAAATCACACATTTTGAGCCATGGTTCAGGCTATTGACCTACATGGAATGCCCTTTCCTTTTTACAACGTACATTAGCCATAGATGGAAACAAATTATTACTTATTAATGTCATGGATTCTCTCTAAGCAACCTACTCCTCTTTTGTAAGGCAGTTGAATGGTGTCCCTCAAATACACTATGCTTTAAATGAAAATGATTAGAACAAGAAAAAATTAAGTTATTTAGGTAGGCATTTAAACTTGAAAAAGAAAGTCATTCCATCAAGAACTTACTTTGGGGGAAAAGTCGGCTTGCTTGAAAAGTAAATCAAAAGATCATTAACAAAATATTTATTGACAGTCTCAGCTGACTAAAACTGGGCCAGCCTAACTGCTTCCTTCCTTGTCACTGCACTTTTGAATTTTACATAAGCCATAGGCACCGAAATATCCGCACAGCGTTCTTCAGTGATAAATCTAAAAGCTAACTTTGCCACAAGAGATGAACAATTTATTCAGTTTAACAAATGCACACAATGGTACTGGCCCTAGGGATACACAATCAAACATAAGGCATAAAACAACAGCAAGTGCAAAAAAAAAAAAAAAGATGAGTAAAAGGTTAGAAATGACATCAATCCACAGTGACCATGAATTTCCAACAGTAATTTTACATTCAGAATGCTCAAGATACTATGCTAAATGCTACGAAAACCAAAAGCTCCCATATCAAAGTTTTCAGTCTAGTGGGAGAAAAAAAACCCATATAAAATTAATGATAAATATATGACAAGTGATGACAGAAAGAAAAGTAAGATTGATCCTTTCTAAGAAGGCATTTTAAAAGAATTAGAGTTTGCCGAGTAGGAGTGCAGTGAGGACATCTTCAGGCAGAAGGAATACCATGTATAAAAGTAGATTCATTTTGCATTAAAGGTAATGGGAAACACAAAAGGAAATATGCATGGTTCCTTTCCTTTGAGAAGCTCTTACCACACTGAAAGACAACACTGACCAATAAAACTCTTAGAGAAGTGTTAGAATTCCAATAAATTGTAAGATGTACACTCTTACTGCTGTTCAGAAAAGATTAAAACAGACTGTCTTAATCACAGAAAAGTTTACGGATAGATAAGAAGGGATACCTCCTGGGTGAAATTAAAAAATGCCAATGGCAAGGAGAGAACCATAAGCAAAGACACCAAGGCGACAGATGACATATAGAAGATGGTGAAAATCAAAGACAAGCATGCAATCTAGAAATAGATGGTGTCCTCTATAGTGCAACAGGTTGGAATTTCACTTCCCTCTTTCCCACACTGGCCAGCTCCCAGTCACCTATCCATGGGTCACTTGGGGCAGACAAGGAGAATGTGAGAGGAATCTGATTGAGTGCTTTTAGCCAAATCATCTGCACCAGGTGGTAGTCACCTGGGTATCTCTGATCAGGCACATTTCCTTCCCCTCCCTTTAAATCAGCACCAGTAGAAACACCAGAATAAATTACCAAAAATGTTTTGCAAATCAAATTCACACTTTAATTCAGTTCAGCTCACTCAATGCCACCTCTATCACCATGGTGGTAGGGGATGAGGGAGGGGGTAGTTTACAAACCAGTATGTATTGTCTTTTCCTACAGGTTCTAAAAAAGGAACAAACAAAATGAGGGCAGGAAATATTAGGACTACCTTTCCAAGGGAAAAATAAGTTGTTTTGGCTTCAGTGGCCCAATAAAGAAAACATGGAGAAAATTCTATAGTAGTTTAGTAAACAGGAACCTTGTAGGCAACAAATGTGAAGGCAGCAGAACCTGGGGATGTTGCAGGGAAAAGAAATGAGAAAAAAAAATGTAGTTTAAGAACAGATTAAAAAATAACTAATAAAAGTAATTTTTAAAAAAGAAAAAACAGATTAAGTGACATAATCCTAAGACACTCTACATATAACACACCCTTGTTCTCCATAATTCTAGATCTCCTGGAAAACAGGTGTCTACTTATAACAGCTTTACTCAAAGAGCTCTTGTGACAAACCATAGGAGATGCCTCTCCTGGATTAAACCTGGGGGGAAGTGTTTATTCTACTGAGAGATAAGTGTCCCTGGAATGCAACATAAGAATGCTGAATTTACTTCAAGGCAGAAATATTATAAATGGTTTGGTTGGGGCTATATATTATGTGAGCATTATGCTGAAGGAATTATGAGTCAAGATAAACAAACATTTCAGTGGTTTAGCTTGACAACTGAACAAATGGCTGCTATTAGTCCAAGAAAACAAACCACAGTTGAGAGCATCTATTAAACTTTTGGATCAGAGTTCTTTAGTAAGTAAACTAGAATCAATAGTGTAGTATGTTTGTTTAAGGTAGAAAGAAAAGAGGAAGCAAGGAGGGAGGCATTTTAAAGGACATGCCAATTAATGCCTTTTACAATAATTAAATAAAATTGACCCAACCTGAATCCCAAAATCTATTAAAACTGTCTTTCACACCACTAGCAAGTACACCGAGCACAGTACCAGACTGTGCTTCTGAATAGTAATATTGCAAAGCTATAAGCAGGAACCTGATGTTAGTTTCCTCCTTAAGGTAATGTGGCTACGGGCCTCTCCCATCCTCCCCCCAGCACCCCCAAAAGTTCAGGCACCCACATTTCGGCGGGCCCAATTACAACTAAGTGTTGGCAAAATGAAGTGCTGTGCTAGGCTAGACAAATACGCCCACTCACTGCTGGAAACGACATCTACGTGGGCCTTGAAAGAGCAAGACAGGTTGGATGGGAAGGAGGGGGGAAAGGCTGGGAGCTATTTTCCCTACCTCTCCCTGCCCCGCTCCCGGCTCCAGAAGGGACAGAATCTCACCAGTAGGTCGCCACCAGTCTGCAGACGAAGGTGTGGCTTCCGTCGTTTGAAGACGCTCTTTAGAAAGCTACGCGGAGCCTTCCGCTTTATCTGCTTCCTCTGGGAGACGGTGGTCGCGGGCGCCATTCTCCCCCGCAGGCATCAAAATCCTCCCCGCACCTCACAGAACCTCACACGGGAGAAGAGCAGGAACAAATCCGGAGCTGCGAAGGTGGTTCTGCTCGGACGCCCGGGCCCGAACTTTTGAATCCACCGCCAGTGGAGCGCGCCCGGCGCGCAGTAGTGACGTCACACAGCCCAAGTCCCGCCCCCAAGCAACAGACGGTCGGTAAGAAACACCCTCCCAGAGAAGCCCTGACGTCATTCAAAGGCTGAGGCTTCCCCCACCCTCCCGTCCTCCAATGGCGGGGCGTACCCGCTCTAAGGAAGTGTTTCTCCTTTGTTCCAGAGATGCTGGGAAATTGTGGGAAACGCTGTTATGGCGAAACAAGAACACGGACTCTCCAAGCTTTCACTCTCTCCCTAGCCTGATACAAATGGACTAAAGAAGAGATGAAAAGAATAACGTTTGTGATGTTTTATCCAGATTCCTGAAGAATCAAAGCCTTGCAAACAAGGCTGACTTTTCTGATATTAACAGCTAACACTTCACATTTGTACATAATTGCGTTTGATCACTTGAAGTCTTTACATGTGTAGGGGCAGGAAGACCACAGAGCAGGTTTTCTGATCCAGCAGATCGGGTAAAGGAGGAATCAGAGTCCTTGGTGGTTTTGCAGGTTTTTATTGGGATTACCAGGTACACAGCAGGCAGAGGCGCTGGGGGGCTGGTAGGCAGGCAGGCCTCCCAGCCCCCAGCAGGTCTTCACTCTGGGCTCTCTGGCCTTCTCTTGGCTTCTGCTTCTCTTGCTTCTCTCTCTCGGCTTCTGCTGGCATCCTCGTGTTGCCGCCCTTAAAAAGCCCAGTTGAACCCCATCTACCTATGCCTACACCCTACTCCAGGTGCCGGCCATCAGGCATGCATTCAGGACCACAGGGTTCCCTCATCAATCCTAATGGCAGGAGGGCAGAAAAGCCTGATACCTTTTACCTACCCTACAACATGATTGTAGTTTTCCTTTACGAATACTGCTCCCTTTAATTTTGTTTCCTCCATTGCATTAACTTCAGGTGTGGCTTAAATGCTACCTATTGATACTTTTGCTACTTCTCCAGGCAATTAACTTTTCTGTCTTCTGTGACATCATGCAAGTAGTTCTTAAATTTCATTGTGTGTCTGATGAAGCTCCACCCCCTTTGAATGCATTTGGTCTGGAGGTGATTTGAAAATTTGCTTTTCCAATACACAACAATGCCAGGCTGAGAAACACTGTGATCATTGATTTTCGTTCTGTTTTTCTCCCTGTAGTAATTATTGTGATTTTAGTAATGACAAAAATGATCCACTATCTGACCTATTTCATTTCCCAAACTTCGGTCTGCTAAATAATAATCTTATTCATTGAGCTTCTCCCTGGTGGCACAGCGGGTTGAGCGCAGGGCTGTGCAGCTGTCTGCCGCCTCTGCAGCGCGGTTCGATTTCTGGCAGGCCAGGGAAATACCTACATGGCACCGCAGACCTTTCCCGTCTCCCCCGCTGCTCCCCTCAGCAGTGTTTTTCGGTTGTCTGCCTGTTCTTCTCCCTGCTCTGTCTCTGGTGAATCCTCTCACCCTCCAGCGTCTCTGGCCTGTACCCAACTCTTGTATAAAAATAAATAAATCTTTAAAAAAATTAATCTTATTCATTGAGAGCCACCCACATTGTGGTCATAAACTAAGCCTTATCATTACCAAATACCATACCCTTCTAGAATCTCAATTTTATCATCTTACTCTTCAAACTCATCTCTTATATTTTGAGCTCACTCCCTCCAATATTTCACTCCAACAATTCTTAGACGCCAGGTATCACTGTCCTCTCTCTGGCCCTGTCATGTCCCCTCTACTCTTCTTATTCTCTCGTCTATGATCCACTGTGCATTTTTATAATATTCCCTTGCATCTCTCAACTCAAGCTATTCTCTTTTCTCCCCTCATACTCACCTGATAAAACTCCACACCTGTTTAATTTAAAATCTCAATCTATGCTATACTTGTATCTGTGCATTGATAGCCACTAAAGGAAAGCACACTGGTCTCAATTTAAATTCATATCCATTCAAGTGGACCTTAATTCCTGTAATCTAAGACTATTCATTCACCTGTTCTCTTCTTCCAACCTCCTTACACCCCCTACCCCATCCTCACCCTCAGTTGGTGTCATTGCTTCAGTAACAAAACAGAAGTACCCCACTGAGACTTTCCACATGTTCCCACTATTACATCTACCCACCAATTTCCATCTGTTCCCTTGGATGAACCATGTGTTTAAGACAAAAAAAAAAAAAGCAAAACAAAACAAAACAAACAACAATAACAGAAAAGCCACACTACCTGTGCCCTAGATCTCAGCCCCCTTCCTTTCTTAAAAAAATTCCTGGCAATTCCACATTCTTCTGCCTCATGATTTTTCCTCTTTTGTTCACAAAGAAACAAAGACGGTTTGACTAAATTTGACATCTTCAAGTCCTGCCACTCTCTGTAAAATCCACTGCAATCAGACTTTTGTACCTATCTCTACACCAAAATTGCTTTGGTCAGCATGATCGTAAACATAACCCTTTTAAATCAATGGTTAATTCCCACACTTCACTTTATTTCACTAGTCAGGAATATTTGTTCAGTTTTATGTTTTTTCTTTACTACAAGAAATACTTTTCTTTATTATTGTTTTTTTATTTCTCCCTACCTGATGATCCTTCAGTCTCACTTTCTGTTTCTTTTGTGTCATTGATCTCTGTAGGGTAAGGAAAAATGTCAGGCTTTTCTGCCCTCCCGCCATCAGGATAGATGATGGATCCTTGTGGTCCTGAATGCATGCCGGATGGCGGCCACCTGGAGTAGGGTGTGGGCATAGGTAGATGGGATTCACCTGGGCTGAGACTGGGCTTTTAAGGGAGGCGTCACGGGGACGACAGTAGAAGCCAAGAAAGCAGCAGAGGAGCAGAAGCCGAGAGAGAAGCAGAGCCATGAGAAGAGCAGAGAGAATGTGAGAGAAGGTGGGAGCTCAGAGTGAAGACTTGCTGGGGGCTGGGAGGCCTGCCAGCCTCCAGCCCCCCAGCGCCCCTGCCTGCCTTGTACCTGGTAATCTAAATAAAAACCTGCAAAACCACTGAGGACTCTGACTCCTCCTTTACCCAGTCTGCTGGATCATAGAAAACCTGCGCCGTGGCCCTTCCTGCCCTTACAATCTCTAAATCTTGGAGTACCCTACGAATTAATATACAGACTTCTCTTCTCTATCTATACTTATCCCCTATGTGATTTAACTCAACATTATGACTTAAAAGAACAAATTTACATCCTTAGCTTATTCTCTTCCCTAAACTTCAAACATTTATATCCAAGTCTACACTGGACTCAAATTTTTAAATGTAACACATAAAACTAGCTCTCAATATACCATACACCCAAAACCTGCTTCTCCTACCATTTTCCCTATCAGAGCTAATAGCACCATCATTCCAAGCACTCCAGCCAAAATCTTGGAGTCAGTCTTAGCTCCTTACTTTTTCTCACCCCACATTCAATCTTTCAGCATATCTTGTCATCTGTAGTTGGAGTTACTGACCAGTCTCGATCAAGTTATCATCACCTATCATTGGACAGGGCAACACCCTGCTGACTGTGCCTCAGTGGGTTTCTATTTAGCCTCAATAAAACAGCCAGATTTAATTCAGATTATGTCACAGTTCTCCTCAAACCCCTCCATTTCCCTAAAAATAAAATTTCCTACAGTAACCTATGAGAACTCATCCAACCCCTAACTGTTTAAACATACAAAAATACAGTTAATTTTCTGACCTTATCTCCAACAATTCAGCAACTCACTTTTCTTTGTGTTTGTCTCCTTGCTATTTCTCAGACACACCTGAAATCTTTCAACACTTCTCCATCAAGTGTACTTACTGTTCCTTCTGCCAAGAATACTTTCCTCCATTAGCTGTATCAGTGTCTCTATCCCCTCCTTCAAGTCTCTGCTCTGACAAATATAAGAGAGATCTATTTAAAACAGACACTCCATACATGTATCCACACATATGCCCAGAATCTCACAAGTGAGAACATATACATTCATAGTGTAGTGTGTAGAAGCTGACATACTTTCCCAGTTCTTTGTGTTCAGTGACATATCGATAATTGGAAATTTGATCATGATCATATTGGTCACTATAGAAACTGGCAAATGCTACAAATCAAGAAGTTTTTTTTTTTTTTTTCTGGAAGTTAAGACTTTTCCCATTGACCTGAACTCGCTAACCTTCTGCATTTTATTTTTCTACATAGCACTTTTTACTATTTCATATCTTCTTCTGCATATAGAATAACATTGTAACTAATTTATAGTAGAAATAATTGCAGATAAGTAATGTTTTTTAAGAGGGAAAGTGGAAATATATATTGTCATATGTATGTGTCCCGATTGCTACTGTAACAAGTTACCACAAATTTAAAACAATAACATTTTATCATCTTACAGTTCTGGGAGTCAGAAGTTCTAAAATCAAAGTGTTGGCAGTGCTGCCTTTTTTCTGAAGATTCTTTGGGAGCATCTGTTTCCTTTGTCTTTTAAAGTTTCTAGAAGCCACTTCAGTTCTTTGGCTCAGGATCCCTTCTTCCATCTTCAAAATGTCTGACTCTTTCTTTTTCACTCAATATGTCTCCGTTCTTTTTCCTACTGTAATTCTCCTGACCTCTAAGAACTCTTATTATTACCTGGGGCCTATCCAAATAATCCAAGCTCCTTCCATCTCTAGATCCTTAATTATGTCTACAAAGTGCCTTTTGCCATGTAAAATAACATTTTCAGATTCTGAAGATTAGGACAGAGATTTATGGGGGAACTGGCAGTGTTCTGCCTACAGCAGGCTCTCTCCTAGACTTGATTCTAGAGCAAAGCTGGTCAATAGAACTGTTTTCAATGATACAGATTCTATATCTGCTCTAACAAACACAGTAGCAACATGTGGCTATTTAACATTTGAAATATAGCTCCTGTGACTAATAATATTATTTTTATTTAATTATAATTATTTGCTTTTAATAGTCACACGTAACTAGTGGTTACCATTTTGAATCGTGTGGTTAGAGCAAACTAGCAGATAATTCTGGTGATTTTATAGCTCAGTGGAAACCAGGTATCA